CCAACACTTTTTCTTAAAAAGATTTCCTTTTTCATGAATTTTCTTGGCTCCTTTGTCAAAGATTAGTTCACCATAAATGTTGGTGTTTATTTCTCTACTGTCATTTCTGTTCCCTTGATCTATATGTCTGTCCCTGTGCAGTATCATTCTTACCTCAATTAATGAGGCTGTCTAGTAAGTTTTGAAACCAGAGAGTGATTTCTCCGACTTTGTTCATCATTTTCAAGATTGTTTTGGCTACTTTGTGTCCCTTGAATTTTCACATGAATTTTAAGATGTTTGTCAATTTTTGCAAAAATTAAAAAAAAAAAAAAGTCAGCTGGGATTTTGATAGGAATTTTATTCAATCTGTAGATCATTATGGGAAACATTGCTATCTTAACAATATTTAAATCTTCCAGTCCTTTAGGGTTTTCAATTTATTTCAACCTTCTGTAAATTTTTTTCAATGGTGTTTTATATTGTCTTAATTTTGTTACAAATACTAAATATTTTATTCTTTTTTTGTGTGCCATTGTAAATGGAATTGTTCACTGTGTATTGATATATACTTAATTTTTGTATCCTGAGCTGGCATCCTGCAACTTTGCTGAACCTGTTTGTTAGTTCTTGTTGGTTTCCTTGGGATTTTCTGTTTCAGAGATCCTGCTATCTGCTCTTAGATATAGACTTACATCATCCTTTCCCATCTGGATTACTTTAATTGCTTTCCTGATTGCCCTGGCTAGTAGTAAGAGGGAAAAGAAACACACTTGCTTTGTGTTTTCCTAGGAAATAAGTATCTCTTCTTTCACCATTTAGCTTACAATGCATCTTTTGTCCTGTTATAGTGCAAAGTGGTTTTATCATAAAAGTGCATTTTGTTGAGCTAAACAGTAGCTTTTAAGAGCTTCTTACATAGTTTGTTGGGATGTAACAAGTTTTGGGCTGTTTTTTTTGGATTTTGTTTTTTGAGTTTTTTTTTTTTTTAAAGATTTATTTGTTCATTTACCCAAGGACCAGGGTACAGGCCAGATGCATGGGAGGGTGAGAGGATTCACCAGAGACAGAATGGGGAACAGAACAGGCAGACTGACGAAATACACTGCTGAGGGGAGCAGCGGGCGAGACAGGAGAGGTCTGCCGCGCCATGTGGGATTCTCGCTGGCACGCCAGGATTGAACCCACGCTGCAAAGGTTGCGGACAACGTCCAGCGCTGTGCTCAACCCGCTATGCTACTGGGGAGGGATGTAACAAGTTTTATAGCTTATCTAGAAAAGGTTAGATGACAAAAAGTATTTAAATCTGTATTTGCCAAATACTGTTGTTATAAAAAATTTCAAAATGGAAAGGTTATTATGAAAGATGCTTATAATTATTAGTGTTTGAAAGAGGTGATGGGTGTAGGTAGGACTTGTGGTATTCAAAAAATTTGTAAGATATGCATTGTTGGAAATGAGGAAGAAATATTTTTAGGGATGAGTGTAAATCTAATCATACCCAATTCTAAGAGTCTGGATTGTTTGTTTATCACATTTGGGGTTTTTATTTACCAGTGCTAGGTTAGGTGGTATGGACAATAAGAAGCTATGTAATAAAAGTGGCATTTGAAAAAATGTTAGTTTTGCCCAATGACCTCTAATTAATTTGGGGCTTTGGAAAATATTCAGCATTTTAATTTGAATAATTATTGATTCACATGCAGTAGTAGGAAATAATACAGAAAGATAGCTTACACTCTTTGCCCAATTTACCTCAATGGTAACCTCTTGCAGAAATGTAAAAATATGTCACCATCAGGATACTGACATAGATGCAGTCGGAACACTTAATACTTATATCACAGGGATCTCTCATGTTGTCCTATAATAGTTATATCCACTTCTTTCATAACTTATATCCACTTATTTCTGGAACTCTCGCCTTTCTTAATCCCTGGCAACCATTAAACTGACAAATCTCTTCATTTTTATAGTTTTTATTATTTAAAATAAATAATTTTATTGTCACATAAATGAAGTCATACATATGCAAACTTCTGGTATTGATTTTTTTTTTTTCACTCACATAATTCTCTGGAGAATATCCAGGTTGTTATAGCAATAGCTTGTTTTTATTGCTATGTAGTATTCCATAGTATGGATGTACCACAGTTTGCTAAAATATTTCTTATTGTGTGACATGTTGATTGTTTTCCAGTTTTTGGCTATTACAAATAAAGCTGCTTTGCATATTCATGTTTGGGGTTTTTCATGTCTTTCTGTGGATAAATGCCCAAAAGTGCAATTACTGGGTGATATGGTAATTGTATATATTTAGATTACTGAGAGATTGCCACATTATTTCCCAGGGTTATTGTACCAGAGAATTATAAGTGATTCTGTTAATTGCACATCCTGACCAGCCTGTGGTGTCCTCACTTAAAAAAAAATTAAAACATTCTCTCCCTCCCTACCCCCATGGCATAATATAACAGTAGAGACATGGGAATGTGCATGCTGAAGCCAAGTTACTCTTAGGTTCCATAAATACTTTGCCTGCAAGCTCATGATGGCATAGTAGTTGGCAATGCCCCAGACAAGCGGGATGCTGGTCTGTTCCCACAAATCTTTATCCCAGTCTTCATCTCAGGGCGCGACCATGTGCTCTCAGACAGAGTATCTTGTCCAGGCGTACTTTTTTTAAACAATTTAGCTTTTGTCAATCAATACAACTTTTGTTATCAGAGTCTGAGACGTGATGACTGATTTAGGTAATCTGGTCGGGCACTGAAGTGCTAAGTAGGGGCTTCACACGGAAGCTTACGCATCAGAATGATTCTTTCTGCCAGTGATAAAACTCAGGCCCTTTGGGTTTTTTTCATGGCATTATAAGAGCTTTTTAGGAACCAGGACGTAGTTTCTAACTCGTTATAGAAATGAAGGATCCAAATTCAAGTAGTCTTTACCGCGGTCTCTTTAGCCTGACGTTCGTTCTTCCAGCACTTTCGCGGCCCCTGACGCTAGCGGGTGGGGCTCCCACTTCCTGTGACGGTAATATTCACTGTGGTGTGCGATCTTGATTCAGGCCAGATGCTTAGGCTGGGAATTTGGCCATGGCCTCGTGGGCCCATCCTGGAGCTCCCCTTGTAGGGCCCTTGCTACTCCTTAAGTATTTTTTATTTTGACCGTCTAATAGGTATGTAATGCGATAATCATTGTGGCTTTAATTTGTTTTTGTTTTTGTTTTTTTAAGATTTATTTTATTTATACAAGAACTGGGGTATAGGCCAGAGGTGCAGGAGGGTGAGAGAATTCACCAGAGACAGAGCAGGGAGCAGAACAGGCAGATGGACCGAAGACACTGCTGAGGGGAGCAGCAGGCAAGGCAGAAGAGGTCTGTTGTGCCAAGTGGGTATCTCCCTGGCTGGCCGGGACTTAAACCCACGCTGCAGAGGCTGAGGACAGTTTCACAGCACTGCATTCAACCCACTGTGCCACTGGGGAGGCCCTGTGGTTTTAATTTGAATCTTTAATAGTTAATGTTGAACATCTTTTCATGCACTTATTTCCCATTTCTGTCCTATTTTAGTGAAATGTCTTAGTTTTATGGTGACTTTTCTGAGTGGATTTTTTTTTTTTTTACTATTGGTTTTAGTGTTCTTTATATATGTCTATACAGTCCTTTTACTGTATATGACATTTGTAAGTCTTTTCTTCCAGTTTATAATTGGGAAAGAAAGGAATATTTCATTACTGCAGAGAGGGTATGAAAATCCAGTTTCCCCAGGTGGTCACTACTGACTTCACAAGGGTAGCCGTGCAGGGAAGAAAATAAGTCCTGGACTCCTGCTTGGCTATCTGTGTAGCACCTTGGCTTAAATATTGAGGATGCCTTATTAACAGTGGAAGTCTAGGCTCCTAGCTTTACCCTCACTGGTGGGTGTGGGTGGGTGAGGCCACAGGTTTTTTATGTGGTTTGACTTGAATTGAACAGTTATTGTCTAAAAGTTTTCTGTTTTACTAGACTTCACATTAGCTTTTTTTAGGTAATGACATAAGGTTTTTGTTAGAACTTTTGTCTGTGTCTTTGTTCCTTGGCGGCTGGCTTCTTTAGCTCCAACTGTGAAATGTATGAAGTAAAAAGAAAATCCAGGAATCTCACACCATGTCATTTCTCAGGTCCCAAGATGCTTAACCAGTCTACCTGTTCTACATTAAAATGTTTGTTTTATAAATAATGTTCAGGATTTTTAGTTTTATGTAGCAGGTGGAACATGGAAAAGTAAATCTACTTCATTGTATGGGAAGTGGCAGCATAATTTAAAATACTTATATAGGGAATCAAATGTGGCTAGATTAAAGAGAATGCCAAATTATGACTTTAATTGTAAAACAAATCTCAAATTTTATATTTATGTTGGTTTTAGGCACTGATCCTTCTGTATACCAGGAAGAAGTACTAGTTCTTTCTCCTATTCTTAGTTGTAAAGTATTAAGGTATATGCTAAGCTTATGTAACAAAGAGACCCCAAAACACAATGTCTTAAGTAAAATAGGATTTTGCTTTTCTTTCATGTGATAGTCCAGGATAGGAAAGGGAACTCTGCTTTTTGAGGTCATCTTGGTATTTTAAATAAAGAAAGCAGAAATTGTACTTAACTACTTTTGCACATGTCCTATTGCTGTAAGCCTCATCATACAATCACAGTAGCTGCAAAAGTAACTGCAAATGTCTCCAGTTTGTTGGTCATGTGAGAAAGGGATCTGCATTACTAAAATAAAATAACAAAGGTATGCTGGGAGACAACAGTAGTTTTTGCTTTCATTACTTAAGTGAAAAATTTTTAGGAGAAGTTAACTTTATGGTCTTAATTATGAGCCATTTTATTCTATATATAAATGTCTGTTCTTTTTTTTTTTTTTTACTTTTTTTGTTGTAAAAGATCAACATGACTTTCATGGTCAAATCGTAGCCTGGTTGTAAAACTGTTACATAATTATTTGTAGTACTGTAAAAAGAATTTATTTTTATCTTTCAGGGTTTACGGAGTCCACAGGGAATAGGATGCAAACCAGGAGCTGTGTGTAGTCACATTATAATTGAGAGCCATGAGAAAGGATGTTTCAGGACTCTAACTGCTGAACAACCACAATTGGATACTCACCCTTGTGTTTTCAGATCTGCTGAACCCTCAGAAATGATCAGAGGACAACGGAGCCCTTCATCATGGAGAAGCAGGCACATAAATCTTTGCAAATCACTAGACCAGAACAACCCCCATTTCAAAGTGTGGAATTCCTTGCAGTTTCAAAGTCATTCCCCATTTGAAAACTTTACAGCTGATGACTTCAACATTAGCAAGGGTCTTCAGATGCCTTTCCATGAAAAGATGGACCCTTGGCTGTCAGAATTAGTAGATCCTGCTTGTGTGCTGCCATCTGAAGAAATGGAGTGTCATTTTCCATCACGTTCTTCATCACAAATGCCGCCCCCAGAATCCATGAAAAAGTTTACTACCTCCATCACTTTCTCATCTCACCGACATTCTAAATGCATTTCAGATTCCTCTGTTTTTAAGGTTGGTGTTACTGAAGGTAGCCAATGTACTGGAGCATCTATGGGGGTATTTAATTCTCATTTCACTGAAGAGCAAAATATTCCTAGAGATCTAAAACAGAGAACCTGTTCTCCTTCATCGTTTAAAACTTTGGGTCATTCACCAGATAAAACTGTGACTATTTTAGCAGAAAGTAGTAGGCAAAACCAAAAATTACCTGTTGAACTTTCTCACCAAGAAGAAAAACTCTTAGAAAGATCACATTTCAAAGGCAGTCATTTTGAGCCCAGTACCCATGCAGATTCTCACAATTTTAAGGAAGTTCATTTTTCTGATAACAATACCCCCATTAATTTGGACAGGCCAAGTTCCACACCCTCCATAAAAGAGAAGAATATAACTATAACTCCAGATTTACCTTCGCACATTTTCCTTGAACAGCGGGAGCTCTTTGAACAATGCAAATTCCCACCTACAGATCATCATGTGGGAAAACATTCTCCCCCTCCTCAGCATCAGGATTATTTAGCTCCAAACCTTCCTTGTCACATTTTTCTTGAAAAACGAGACTTCTTTGAACAAGCCCCACATGTAGAGCATCAGATGAAAGAAAATGAATCACCAATCCCTCAAGGTCAGGATAGTATAGCTTCAGGAACTCCTTGTTCCATTTTTCTTGAGCAACGTAAGCTCTTTGAACAAAGCAAAGCCCCAAATAAAGATTACCACATAAGAAAACACCCTTCCTCCCTTCCTCAAGATGAGGATTGTGTAGTAGAAAAGAAGAATCAACATAAACATAAATCACACATTAGTAATATGATAAATGTTGAACCCAGCTCCAATAATGTGGTCTCCCAGCCAACCTCAAATCAGTATACGGTAGTAACATCTACATCTACTCCACCTTCAAATAGAAAAGCAATTTCTTGTGTTCGTATAACTCTTGGTCCCAAGACTCCTTCCAAGTTGGATAGTGGAACCTTAGATAAGACATTTCAGTCATTGGATCCTGCTTCTAAAACAAGGATGAATAGTGAGTTTAACTCTGACCTGCAAACTATATCTTCAAGATCATTGGAACCAACCTCCAAATTATTGACCAGTAAAACGATAGCACAGGATCAAGAATTTCTAGGACCTAAATCTTCACCGGACTTGGAAGTTGTACAGTCTCCTCTTCCAGATAATTACATTCAGGATTTGAAAATCATACCTTCTGAGAATAGCCAGTTAGTAACCTCAAGGCAAACACAAGTGAACAATTCAGACTTGGAAAGATATTCCAATCCAGAAGGGACTCCAGTATCTGCAGATCGGTAAGTCTCATTGTGCTAACAAGCAAGCTGATGGGATTTGTGATAAAGGGTTTTTTTTAAGCAAATGTAAGTTTTGGGGGAAAGGCAGTATATTTTTTTCTTAGGGGAGGTTGTATCTGACTAATCAAGGGATATATAAATACCTAAGTAAGAGAGAACATGTGAAAGTGGTATAGTCTTTCAAAGAGCTTTTGACAAGACCTGACCGCAGTATTTTAAAATGTTGAGCTACTTTTAAAAGAATTTTTGATCTTCCAGTGGTACAATTTACTAATTCCTTATTTGCTATGTTGGAGATATCTGCGCTGAAGACCAGGCTTTGAGTAGGGATGCACGCATGCTCTTGTTCTAGTCCTTTCTCTCATTCTCACTCTGTCTTTGCCCTTGCTTTCTTTCCCTGCCCACCCCCCCCACTCTCACTCTCTCCCTCTTTATTTTATGATTTCTGCAACAATAAAAAAAATTGCTTCCTAGTAGAGGATTCCAGCAGACATCTCTTAAGCCAATTTATCAAGATTAACATTACCAGTAATTCGTATCAACATTACTGTCATACTCCAATGTGATGCTCCATTTTATAGTGTATTGTAGCAAAGGAAATCCAGCTCAGGGATAGATGCATTAGCTTTTTACTATTAAATCCAATTTCAAGATTTTGTCAATTTGATTTTATATTAAATGCAAGTCTCTACAATATGGCTAAACATGATTACCCTGTGTATTTAATGTTTCTACCTTAATGTTTGTACCTCTTCCCAGTAGAGAACACTGGGCTTGGAAAGGAGGAAGGGAAAAATGTTTATTCAACGTGCACATGTGGTAGTCATGATGTGAGGCACTTTCCTATGTTATGTCATTTAATATTCATGTTAACAACACAAGGTAAGTGGGTGGTATCCTTTCAAACTCTCTGGTAAAGTGAGACACTGATAGTGCTTCTTGTCTCAAGTAGTTCTTTTTATAAGCAGCAGAATGGACATTCAAATGTAGTCTATTTAATCAGATCAAAGTTTGTTCACCATGTACCACTGTATCCTCAAATCTTGAAGCTTCTTTCCAGCTCTTCTACAAACTGTCATCTTGGGCAAGCCTTTTTATATCTTTGACACTCACGTGGGAGATGCTGTGAGAAGGTAGAAGAAAAATAGTTGGAATGCTGAAAGATTCCACATAGCTTTAGAAGTTAGTTATTGAGAATTGCATTGGGGGAAAAACAGAAGACCAATCTGGTTTTAGTGTTACCAATAGAGGGTATTGATACAAAAAAATACTTTTTTTTTTAATGTTAGAATTGACAAGTTTATATACAATACTTAATTTCCCAGTCATAAAATGCCAAGTTTTGGAGCTAAATTCCTTGAATGAGAAGAAATAAATATGAATTAATGGTAATGCCATTTGTTTAGAATGTACCAGACATTGTAGTGGATGCCTATGTCATTTTATACTCAATATACTTATTAGAGTTACAGATTTATAAAACCTAAGATTTGGGGAAATTAAACATTTTGCTCCAAATCACATGACCACTAAGTGTTGTATTTTTAAAAACAATTTGAGCAAGATGGGCCTTAATTCTTTCTTAAAGGTTTGATAAAATTCATTTGTAAGGTTATCTGGACACTTGGGCTTTTGTTTTTCAGAAGAATTTATTACCCTTTCACTTTCCATGCTTGTGATTTCATTTTTTAAGGAAGAAACAGATGACTTGAAAAAGAAAATCACAAGCATGGAAATTGAAAGAGTGATAAAGTCTTCTTTATACTTTGTCTTGTTGATCTGTCTACTGTTGTACATAGTGTATTAAATTTCCCTGGTATTATTGTATTGTTGTTAATACCTCTTTAGTTGTTATTGTCTTATGTGTCTCAGTGCTCCATCGTCTCATGCATAATGTGTTTATGAGTGTTATTTTCTCTTGTCTTAAACCTGTAATCATAATATAGTATCTGCCTCTCTAACTTTCTTAATTGAAGGTCTGTTTTTATCAGATTGAAGTATAGCCTTCTCTTCCCTTTCTTCTTCTTTCCCTCAACCCTCCTCCTCCTCCCCTCCCTTTCTCCCCCTTTTCTCCTCCTCCTCTCCCTCCTTTTCCTCTTCTCCCACTTCACCCTTCCCTCCCCCACCCTTCCCCTTCCTTCCCCCTCCCCTCCCACCTCACCCTTCCCTTTCCCTCTCCTCTTTTCTCCTCTCTCACTGCCATTTGCTTTGTATATAACTATCTTCCAGTCTCTTTTTAACTCTTGTCTTCGGTAAGATGTTTCTTGTAAACAGCAGAAGGCAGAAGTTTGTTTTGAAATCTTCAGTCATTCTACATCTTTTGATTGGTGAAGTTTAAAGTGATTATTGAGACATAAGTGCTAACTGCTATTTTTTAATGTTTTTGTTTTCTTAGGTTTGTCTTTTCTTTTTAATTTTTGAGGACTTTTTATGTTTTGTTTACGTTTCATTTCCATTGTCTTATATGTTATTTCTAATAATTTTTATTTGAGGGTTACTGAGGTTGGTACATGAGGGGCTATTTGCGTGATATGGTCTGTTAACTGTTCTGATGGGCCACATTGTTACTTTCCACTCCCTCCTAAGTGATTGAGGTTTCTGTTGCCTCTACATTTGTTGTTCTGTTGCTTTAGTTTGTAAACAAACTAATAAGCAATGAAAACTACATATACACATAGGCTACTCAAATTGTTTCAGTTTTAGCTATTGAAAACAGGTGCTTGGGCCTCCCCGGTGGCGCAGCAGTTGAGCGCTGGGTTGCGAAGCTGCCCGCAGCCTTAGCGGCACCGGTTCAATCCCCGGCTGCTCCCCGGCCACCGGAGGAGGGTCCCACATGGTGCGCAGACCTCTCCTGCCACCCACTGCTCCCCTCAGCAGTGTATTTCGGTCCTTCTGCCTGCTCTGCTCCCCGCTCTGGCTCTGGTGAATTCTCTCACCCTCCCGCGCTTCTGACTGTACCCAGTGCATGTATAAACAAAGCAAACAAACAAACAAATAAATAAATAACATGCCTCTATTAAAAAAAAATAATAATAAAAATAAAAAAATAAAAAAAAAAAAGAAAACAGGTGCTTTTGGCTCCTGTGCCCTGCCTCAGCCCTGTAAATAACCATTTCTCCAAAGTACTTTCGTTTCCTTAAAAAATTTTTTTAGCTTTTTTGAGATAATTGATACGTTATATAAATTTCAGATTTACAAAGTGAAGGTTTGATGCACCTCTATATTGCAAAATAATTACTGTCATAACATTAGCTAACACCTCCATCATGTCATATAATTACCATTATTTTTTTTATGGTGAGAATATTTAGGAATTGAAGCTCATAAACTATTACCATAACGCTATTCTTCAGAGCCCCAGAAATTATTCATCTTCTGAGGCGTTGTTATACATGGCCTGATTAGGCTGAATTACAGTCATTCTATAACCAATTTTTTGAGTTTTTATTATAAAAGGTTTTTGTATTTTTTTCTGCATCTTTTGAAATTTTTTTAATCTTTCATTCTACTAATATTATGTATCTAACTAACTGATTTGCACATGTCAAACCATCTTTGTATTACACATATAAATCCCACTAAATCAGGGTGCATGACTTCTTTAATGTGTTGTTGACTTTGATTTGCTAATATTTTGTGTTCTTTTCAACATTATTTTACCTATTTTAACTCATCTGCATTTCCATAAAATTTTACAATAAGCTTCTAAATTTCTTCCCAAAAAGCCTCCTGGGACTTTTTTTCAGTATTGAGTCCATAAATTCATCTTGAGAGTGATTGATTTCTTAATTATGTGGAGTCTTCACATGCATGAACATTTTTTCCTCATATTTAATGTTTCTCACTAGCATGTTTTTATTTTCAGTGTGTGCAAGTCATGGTAAATTTTGTCAAATTTATTCCTAAGTATTTTTTGTTTAGTGATATTATAGTATATATAGATATATTGTTTCCTTATATAGAGAGATATTGTTGCCAAGCCAACTTGCAAATGCTAACAAGTTAATTTCTTATTCATTTACTTTGCCTAAAAATCAAATTTGTTTTTTTCTTCCATTTTTCTAAACAGAAGTGGGATGGGATCCCAACTCAAAATTTGGTTCCTATGTTGAAACAAGAGAATTTGAGATGAAATTTATTGCTAACACAAAGGACTCCTAGGAAGAGCAAGTTGAGCAAAGGCAGGTCCAGGCTGGCTTGGGCAAAGCAGAGGGGGAGTGGTTTGGACTTAGTGTTTTAAAAGTGGAACCAGAGAAAAGATCCCTTGTGTGGGTGCCAGAAAAGGAGGCATTCATATTCAGATTTTGTTATCAGCCTATTTAGATGTGACACCAAAAGTGAGGTTGTTTTAAAAGAAGTCTGTAGTAAAACATAAAAAAATGAGTTTGGGTGTCTATTATAGTGGTGGTTGTAGAATTTACTATATGCATTTCTTAACTTATATATTATCCTTTATTGCTAGATAAATATATGTAATATTTTCTTTAGGATTTTTCTTTTTTTATATATGGGGTAACTCATCTGTAATTTTGTTTGTGAAAGTTATGTCCAATTTTGGTATAAGCAAATTTTGTGTAAGATTGGTATTCTTTATTAGATGTTTGGCATAGTTCATCAATGAGGCCATCTGGTCTGGGTTTTCTTATATATTTAGTTTCTTTATTTGATGTGACTGCAGATTTTCTTCCCCCTTTTTTTTGATGTTAGTTTTGGCAGTATTTTTCAAGAAATTTTGTGAATTTGTTTTGAGTTGTCAAAATATAGGCAGGGGCCTCCCTAGTGGCACAGGGGTTAAAGCCTCAGCACTAGCAAGCTATTGCCAGCCACTGTGGCCTGAGTTCAAGTCCTTGCCAGGGAGCTGACCCTCATGGTGCAACAGACCTCTCCTGTCTCACGGCTGCTCCCCTCAGCAGTATATTTCAATGGATCCACCTATTTTGCTCCCCACTCTGTCCTTGGTGAATCCTCTCACCCCCTGTATGTCTGGTCTACACCCCAGT